TGTTCATACCGAACCTGTTCGTGTCCGCTGCGCGTCCATGCATGTGGGCCACGCTGTTCCGTGTATTGATGCTTGTTTTCATCCACCGTCCGCTTCATCCAGAGATGCAAGCCACATGTGCTTGTTATCCGACCGCCTGCGAAGTCCACACATGCCCTGGGTCATTATGGTTGCAAGGCTTTGTTTTTCCTCTCCATCGAAAGAAACATGTATCATGTGGTGAGGTCTGAATGCTCTTGAGCAGAGGGGAGAAACATGTTACATGGCATGACCAAGTAAAGTCGCCCGACCACAAAACCTGTTGAGGACAGAAACCAAGTGTCAAAGCTAGGCATTTTTTGGAATATAAGAAATACATGGGAGCGTCTAGGTCTATATATGTAGAGGGATTGGCTATATCTGGATTTGGGTACAGAGATACGCGTACATGTGCTCCTCCTTTTTAGCTTCACCGGCGTGCGACGCCTCACTCGACGGTGGTGCAAGAAAGGGTTCCTGACAGTATCCGCCTGGGCACTCGGGGGGGCAATGCGTCCCAACTCCCACAAACGCCATGCTTCTGCAGCCTGCTGGAAACTAGACTTCGACTTGCACGTGGTGCCCCCCACGTCCTACACTGCAACCTGTGGAAATGGATCTAACTGGAAATGCTCTGCGTGACACCCGGCTCCGCATCTGGAACTGATCCTCCCCCCAGACGGCTCTAAGATCCGGAACTGGAAGTGGCACTGGTCCCCTATCCGAGACTGTGGGATGTGGACCTGGACCTGGAACTGGAGCTCGAATTGACCCCTTCCAGGACACTGTCACAATGGATTTGGAACTGGAACTGGAACTAATCCACCCTCCCAGGGCCACTCTCACCATAGATATGGAACTGGAACTGTTCCAACCACCTGGGGCACACTCTGCCCTTGACAGACCCTGACACTGGTTGTAGCATGGTTATAAACCTGGTTATAACCCTGGTTGTAGCCTTGACCCTGCACGGCTATGACCCTGCACGGACCACATCCTTGTGCACGTCTGCACACCCTGCGGAATTCGCACCCTTTTTTGCTGGTCAATGGAACTCGAAGAACTCAAGAGCCGCATGGGGAAGTGAAAACGGTTCGATCATTTTATTGCTCTAAATTCCAGCGAAAAATCGCTCGAACGAATGAAACCCGAAAACAACGTTGAACCCGACAGAGACTGCTGGACCGTTAGCCTGGAGAAAAACAAACCAACAGGACCGAAACTGAAAGACAATTAACCCACCGAAAGTGAAGCTCACAGGGACCCCGAAGGTATCCAGGCTTTCTTTGGGTTGGGTCCGAGCGCCCATGCTTTGCTTAGAAATCTGGAGTAAACCAAAGGCAACATGTGATGAAGACGAGCCTGACTCCACACTGCCTTAAAAGGACGGAGTCAAACCAATAAGCATAAGAGTCTACCCTTCTGCAGACTGCAGATGGGTTGACATAGACATGTTTTTCACTCCCACATTTGCAGGTGCTCGGTGTAGCCACTTTTCGGCTTCTGAACTTCTGGCTGGGCTCTCGCAAGTGGGCAGTCACTGCCCCGCTACTTGGGTCTAGTTCAATCTTTGCTGCTGGTACTTAGTCTTTTCTTTTTCACAAGGGTGATAGCAAACTTTCAAATCCAAGGCTTGTGCTTTTGGTAAACCTAGCAGCAGATGCTTTGCTCCTTGGCAATACGATAGACACTGTCTGTTCAAGGCAACGTTGCTGATTCTGTATTGTTTCCAGGCTACTTCTGCTGCTGCTGCTGCTGATGCTGCTACTACCACTAATAGGAAAGGCGCTCTCTCTCTCTCTCTGTATGTTGCTCAGAGGTCTTTGCACTTTGCCTCTCACTGGCACTTGACACTCCTGGCACTTGGCGCTGGATTGGCAAACGCATTTTCCTCTACGGGTCCAGAGGCTGTGTCTTGGCAACCCACCGAAGGCCGCTGTACTCAAAAAGGCGTTTCTAGTCCATTCTCTGAGGGATAGTGAGGAGCAGTGAAGTGGAGAGATTATAGTTCCTTTTCTGGGACAACTTTCAGACACTAGTTTGGCCACTTAGTACATTTGCAACAGAACTTCAGAGCTGCTGCGACAGCGGTCCAACAAAAGGTTGACCAGGAAACCAACACAGGTGTGGCTTCCTTTTCTTACACTTTTGATTACTCCCCCACTTTCTGCATCCTTTTTGTTATGATTTGGTCACATACAACCAACTTGAACTCAGAGTGAACAAGTTGCCATCAAATGCAAGGCAATTCAACTTATATATATATAGACCTGACAGATACATCACATCCCAACTATGATACTTCAGTATGTTCACGGTGCGTTGGTTACAAGATACCTTCTCCGGGCCTGATGCTGCCCTGCTAAAACAAGCCACGCCACTCTACTATGTGTCAGGCGCACACGAAATGGTAGTGCACAGAAAGGGTTTTGCAAAACCTATTCTAACTTCATGGAAGGCCCAGGATATTCGTGGAACCGGGGCTATTCGTGGACGTTTTGTGGAATGGTTGGCCAGTAGGAAAACTAAGCGTATGTAAAGAGCAACAGAAACCTTCGCAGAACTTCGGGGAAGGTATTTTTGATGTACTAACTTCGTACAATCATTTTTTGCTGACCCCCTTTCCACACACACACACACACCCGCCATTTAGCCTTCAATGTGTGTTTTCCATGCTGCTTCATACCTTCTGGTGTATAGCCTAACTTGACGCCTTTTCACTTTGCTTTTCCAGCTCTGTACCGCTTGGTTCTTCCTTTCCCGTTCCTACTCAACGAAATGTACAGACGAGTGGTAGACATTTCCAAGGTCACCAACATGGTGACTGGGCACTGGAACTGTTTGGCCAACTTCTCCGTCGACTTTGTTTGTGGTCGGAACCCAGACTCCAAGAGAAAAAGAGCTGCAAAGCGAAGCTTAGGCCAGGAGAAATTGAGTTGAACAGTTTTGACGGTTTCACGCTGGTTAGTGACTTGAGAAAGCCAAACACGTATATATATATATATATACACATACAATTGGGACTTAGATAAGGCATTATCCTTATTGTTCGGTCCATATGTCCATTCTTGTTTATTGTTTAACAGCGTGCGTTCGAAGGTATCACTTTGGCTCTCGTGCTTGGAGTGGTGACATCCCAGACCTTGCTACAGCGTGGCATTTCTCCTAGGCCGGCAATCAGAACAATCATCACGAAGCGCCGCGAAGCGCCGCGACTCTTTTTTGAGAGAATTATAAGGGCCGACGCCTGTGGGGCCGACCCCTGTTTCAGTCAGATGCCTGGTTTTGTGGATAAAGTGCCATCAATCGATATTGCGGAGATTTGCCGGTTTTGAGACAAAGCTGAAGAACATCTTGAGAAATCGTCTTCGTTGCGCGTTGACCGTCCAGTGATTTCTTACAAAGGCACCATCCACCTGTGCCATGCTCGTCTGTCTTGTTTGAATACATTAGCAGAATTGACGAGGATGGCACCTAGTGGCCATTCCATAGCTGTCTGGCCGATCGAAGTGACTAGGACGAAACCCGGGGCTATTTTGTGGTTGTCCCAGCACATGGTGCCTCCCCCCACAGCCACATCACCGACGAGGGCTAGCTAGCTGTGATGAAGAACCAGGGCTGGCAGTATGAACAGGACAAGAAGGATTGACAGCCAGGGGCAAATTTATTTTCTGTATCCAAATCGGGCTCAGTCAGTCAGGTCTTTATTTGTAGCTAGTCACCAGTCAAAACGCTGTCATTTTGTTGTAAGATCCTTGGTGCAACCTGAATTCGTTGGTGATCCACTAGCCCAGAGCAAGCAAACTGCTCGCTGCTGGACGCATATCCGTGTCGGCTGCCATGCTTGCCCTGAGCCCCACCACGCTGTTAACTCATTTAGTTCCGCGCGAAGAAGCCAAACGATGCTTGCTGAACCGGTAAACAGGGACGCAGGTTCGTTTGTACACGCGGAGAAGCGAGAACGGACCCTTTGTACACGCAGGTTTGTACACAAGGTGTCATCCTCTTAATTTAAATTTCAGATTCTGTGTGCGCAGCTGATCTAGATTCTGTGTGATAACATCCCGTTTTGTATGTAGATCATCCTGTGTCCACCAACTCTAGGTACTTCCAACCTCAAGCACTCGTTATCCCCGTCTGATTGTGTGCAGAACACGTGCCCTAACGCCAAGAATCGCCAAACGGTCCGGATATGTAACTTCTCTGGCGTGCTCCCCCGGCTGGGGTCAGTGACAGCATGTTTGTGCTCGTGGCCGTTACGTTTCCTGCGTTACTTTGATTGCATTTACTGTATAATCTACACGTTTTTATATACCTATACGGGCTTTTTGGAGTTGGGATGTGCCTTCGAGCGTCATGAAAGTCACACGGAAAGCCCGGGCAGGTTCTGGTGGTTTGGCGCAGCGTATGCCATCATCTTCATTTGGCACGACATAGCTCTGCAGGGCATGCTAAGGACCAAAGTTTCCTCAGCGATGGCTACCCAGGGGGCAAAGTGAGGCCATTCGTAGATGCCAAGGCCGCAGAGCGCACTAGAGCGGAGTGGACTTTGGTCAACGTTAAGCCTTGTGTACAAAGATTTTGACTTGGAGATTTGGAGCAGCCTTTTAACACATATGCCGCATATATGCCAGATGTCAAACAGAGGGCCTTGTGACATGCTTCAAGGAACACTGAACAGCTTGTACACAAGTTTCACCATCCCACGCAACTCTCACCGCGCTCGGCTAGATGTCTTGCGCTTGTAGACTTCTGTCCAGCATTTTTCCTCAACTGTTTGATCCATCCTTCCAGACACATGCACTGAAGGGATGCTCGTTTGGTATTAGCATCATTGGATCTTGGTTTGCATCTGCCCCTTTGAAGCCTCGACCTTTGCTCCCTGGGGCAAAAGATGTACAACCGCAAGTCTTGTGAGTGTTGATTCTGTGCACAAATAGCCTCAACCATGTCTCGGTGCCCGGGTTTCTTTGCCTTTGGAGGCATCCAAACGTGGTGTGGACATGAACCGCATCATGTCTGGGAAGGTGGCCAGTGTGGTTGATATAGACAAGGACACACCAGTTGTATAGACCTCACGGGAAGGAAGAGCAAGGAGTCTGCTGGACAGGACTTCGTTTCGGTCTACAATGGCTATGATGGTGTCCTGGATTCTTGGCATTTCCACAAGAGTGGAATGCTTTGAGAGTCTCCTTTTGAGTCTTTACGGTTGACTTGCAACTAGGACTACTACCGGGACTTGAGCCTGGCGTCCGATGACAAATGGAGAAGCTTGGTAATTTAGAAGCCTTGAGTGGCGCTGATAACTGCTGTCTTCTGAGACTTTGTGTTGACTTTACACAAATGGTTCCAGGAAATGTCAGCATACCGCTGCTAGCTGTGGCTGCCCGAGATGCACCTCGGCTTGCCTTTGTAAATTATTGCAATAAACAGAGAGCTCAATATTTTGTGGTTTGGGGCTTGGGGACTCTCACACTACCTTACTTGAATTCCTGGTGTGGCAGGCAGGACATGGGAACACACAAGCTCATTGACACATATTGACACACCGTTCACTTGTGAATTGCCTTCCCGCATCAGGACCCAATCACCCACTGTGATGCTTTGAGGTGGGGACATCAGAGTAACGCTGATTCAAGTTGTGCTTCACAGTGGTCTTTCCAGACACATAGTGCCCACATCACCACCTTGATCTTGAGTGTGAATAGTGCCAGGGCCAAAGAGTTCTCGGCAGACAATCACAACCTGCTCTTCCTCATCACCGAATCTTGGCCAAGAGTCGGCATGGAGTATGTAAACAGTATGTATGAGTATGCTGTTTCAGTCGCGGAAGGGTGAGATTAGAGTCCATCGGCATTAGAGATCCGGGTGGCTGCTCTCTAGCTTGCTTGCCAGGATCGAGGCGGCCACGTCGGCTGGCCAAGGGGCGTGCGGCCCTGGAAGCATGGCTGGGATTTCATCAATGAGGTGCATGCTGCGCCCACATTAAAAAATCCATACTCCAGAACTTACCAGTGGTCGAATTGTGGATGTGGGTTGCTGGTTTCAGGCCATCCAGGTCTTCATTCAAAGCACAGATGGCTGAGCTCAACAAGTCTGTACAGCCGTATATTACATACTTCTCTCTGCCGGATTTCAACCTTTAGCAAGACCTGGAATCATGGTCTTCAAGTCTTTTGCAGCTGCAATGGCACACTTTGTTTGCACTTTGTGCCCTTGCAAGAGACTCTGTTAGCTATTCAGAAAGACTCGCCTTGATGCTGCAATCCTCTACCACGGTTTTCACGGACCAAAGCCACGATCCTGCTAGGTGTGGAAGGCGTCCTAGTTGCAGAACTTATTCCAACAATTGAGGCTGGGCCTTGGACGTCTTGATGGGTAGCCCTGCGGCCAAATGGTTTTCATCAGGCTGCATCGCTTTTGCCGATGATGGAGCTGTTGGCTCTTCTTCTTGGGGAGCGGCTTACTTCGATGCATTGGGAAGCAGAGGCCGGACTCGTCACGCCTTTAGTCCTTTGAAACGCCGGAACCGTCTGACCATGTGAAGGGCTTTTTGACCCACCGGAAGCTTCTCTGAAACTTGAGGGACAAGTGCGACAAAAGTTCCCAGAACCTGAGCCCTTCGACGTCCTTGCATCTAGTAGCTTGCCATTATCGTATATTAGTCGCTACTTTACTTTCTTTACTTTCTTCATGGCCTACCCACGTTGGAAAGAAAGCAGTTCTCTCTATGTATATATAATTACAATATTCTGTATACGCAATGAAACAAGTCAGTGACAGCAAGGTATTTTCTTTGTATTAAAATTCGTAATCAGTACTGGAATTTTAAAGAGGTTAAGAAGCCGCTCTTGTGGTCTCTTGGCTTTGTGACACTCTCCCTGCAAGCCAGGCTCGTCGCTCGCAGAGTGTGATCAATCGACTTCTTCAAGGAGTTGAAGTCTTGGCAAAGTCCTCAGAAATGATTTTGGCACCTTGAAAGACCGTCAAAGGGCCGGTGAAAGGGAGAGTTTCTGCAAGCCAAACGTTTCGGAAAAGCACATACTTGAGTTTGGAGTCTGTCTTTTGCATCACATGCTGGTTGATTCTGAAGAATTTTGCAGTTTTACTGTTTGAATCTTCAGTTGTGGGCAGGCGAAGCCCTCTGAAGAGTGGCAAAAGAATTTGATGCAAAGTGCAGCTGAAGCTCAAAGCTAAGCCAAGAAAATCACGAAACAAATAGTCTCTACTTTTTCGTTCCATGACGAGTCCTGTAAAAAAGTCGCTTGCGAGTCTATTCGGAGGGCACAGAGCACAGCTTTGGCCCAGGTTCCAACGCAAGTCCTTCGAGGCTTGGCTTGTTACAAAGGCTTTCTTAAAGACCATCAGTGAGGCTCCTTTTATATCATTTTCATTTCCTATGGAAGCCTGAAAGACAGCGAGAAGCACCGCAGGTGACGTGACATTGAAAGACGCCTGCGTTTGGCAGCTGGATAAAAGGCACAAGCATCGCTTCTGGGTCGGGAAAGCAATAGGAACAACCACGTATCAACCAACAACTTGCAGCGGCAGGACATATGTAGACATCAGTCTGGGCCTGAGGAGCAACTCTCAAAAGTAGAATGCTGTGGCCTGTGGACTTGCTTAGCAGTGCTTCTCGTGTCCACGACTGGTGCAGGTGGACAGAACCTCGGCAGTCCAACTGTTCTGGCAGAGGAGGTTTGCCACCGATCACAGTCGCACAGCATTTGTTTGAGCGTTGTGATCACAAGAGGTCAGATTCGTTCGTCCTTGTGGAGGCCTTTCTGGCGCCACAAGATCAGCCCCAAGTGTCGTGCGTAGAGGCGGCTGGAGTCACACAACAAACCTCTCCCACACCGTGGTCACTGAGCAGGAAGTATCTATTGACAGCAGCGGCCAGCACTGAGCCCAAGTTTTCAGTGGCGTTTCCTTGCATGTGTGCCAGTCGCCCACAGTCCATGGTCAACCTGTGCTGAGGTGCGTCTCCTCAAGGGAGATTTGCGTGAGGCTGTATGGAATTGGTAAGCCCGCAAACCCAGCCAGTGTAAACTGCATTTTCCGCTTTGAGTTTGTGTTGACAGTACGCAAACCCTTTGAGCCGATTTCCTCCAAGGCCAACCGTTTTGGACTTCCTGGATTCAGACGGGCACAGGTGACGAAGCTGGCAACGAGTCTTGTTTGATGCTACAAGGAACAGCAGAGAAAGGCTTGCATCAGTGTGCTACCCAAACTTGGTCGGTGAGTGTTCAGGTTAGATCACTTTGACCTGGCAGCTGCTGAGTGGTCTCGAAGCTGCACAGTTAAGAGAGTTGGCGGTGAATTAGCCGCCCTATCCGCCTGCTTTTGAGAGGCTATGGAATTCTGCTTATCGCCGTTCTTGCCCATAGGTGGTTAGGAACATGATTGAACATGATAGAAAGCTATTATTATAAGTGCTTGACAAATTGCCCTTTTTGATCCTGTTGCTGTCCCAGGCTTTCGAAGTCCTCACTGAGAGCTGCACTACAGGCTGTGAGCCACCCCTGTGAGTTGAAGGGATAGCTCCACTTGGCCAGGCTCGCTCACAGCTCCATGAGCTGATTCTCCGGAAGCATTCGGCTGAGCAAATGCAGGCATGCATGGTGACTTGCATGCGTGCACCTCTGCTTTCGGGCACGCATGGTCGACCAGATGACCAATGTGGAACAGCTTAATAGGCTTAATGGCTCTGAAAATCAAAAGCGTTTTGACCCTGGAGCAGTAGCTTCCAAGCACTTAGCAGCTTGCTTATTTTACAACTAGCTTCCTCCTATTACTACCTCCCCTGCCTTGAGCGGTCTATCCACCCCTCCCATCCCTCCCACCCCTCCCACCCCCTTCCTTAACACTCTGGCTTTGAGTGTTACTTTTCGTCCTTTCGTTTGTTTTTTTGTTTCTTCCTCCTTTTCTGTCTCCCTGCGGCCCCTTTTTGTAGACCAGAGCTGAGTGCAGGGTGCTCGACACCACATTGAGTGTGAGTGAAACAACTGCCCCTCAAGTCAGGTCAACAATGAGATGCTGTTGTCAGTTGGGGTTTGAAGCCTAACTTACCCACGACATTGTTAACTAAAGACCTTGAACCTCTGTCTGCTCCTTTTTCCCCAAACAGTTTACTGTTGGGGTTCTATCTTAGAAAGAAAAGAGCTGGCCACACTCACTGGCCCCGCCCCTGATCTCTGTGGCTGGGCCCTGTGGCTGGGCTCTGTGGCTGGGCCTTGTCCTCCTCTTGTCCTCCTCTTGGCCGCGCCCCTGAACTCTGTCAACTCTGTGGCTGGGCTTTGTGGCTGGGCCTTGTCCTCCTCTTGGCCGCGCCAAGGAACTCTGTCAACTCGGCTTTGCGGCTGTTCTCTGTGTCCTTGTCCTCCTCTTGTCCTCCTCTTGGCCGTCTGTGGCTGGGCTGTGTGGCTGGGCTCTGTGTCCAGGCCTTGTCCTCCTCTTGTCCTCCCTAAACTCTGTCAACTCTGTGGCTGGGCTCTGTGGCTGGGCTCTGTGTCCAGGCCTTGTCCTCCTGAACTCTGTCAACTCTGAGAAAGAAAAGAAAGAAAGGAAGGAAGGAAGGAAAGGAAAGGAAAGGAAAGGAAAGGAAAGGAAAGGAAAGGAAA